CTTTCCCATATTTCTGCTCTTTACCAAACGTCACATCAGGTTTTTACAAGTCACCACACCATGGTTTAACACACGTGTGTTTGCTTAAAAAAAGGAAAACCTCTGTCTTTGTGGTTCTTCTATTCCTTTTTTCTCCATCTCTACATAAAAAACACAAAACATCTTGCCGTAAAAAATAATGGCAGGGCTTGCATGTGATGTGGACATGGAGCCAAAAGTGATTTAACTGCTGCACAACAAAAACCGGCCACAAAAAAGGCTGCCTTACCCTGTTTTTAAGAAAATACTACAAAGTCAAGATACATCAGTAAATAACAAAAAAACTATTCAACTGACTTCTGTCAAGGCTGTGGCTGAACATAATTACTCATTTAGACACAAGTGTTGTGACGATGTAAAATGACGGATTTTTCTCTTTTTTGATTGTGGATATGGAAAAACTTCCTGTGCAGCAATCCACTGGGAAAAATGCTCTCATCACAATGTACTCACTGTTGACACTAGTAAGACATTAGTAAGAACAAAAACATGATTTTCTGACATCAGTGTTTAAATTATTTGAACCATGTGGTTACATGGTGTAATGGTTAGCCCACTAGACTTTGATCCCAGAGTTCAAATCCTGGTGTTACCTCTGCATTTAGCTATCTGCCTTCTCACAACTGAGGCCCAAGTTATTGTGTGGTGGGTTGGAACAGACTATGGGACAAGGTTCAAACCCAGACTGGACGCAAGTAAAAGATGCTGGGGTATTGATCTGATATTATTAATTTCCTCGTTAGTGTGGGCGCGAGTATCACCGCCTGTCGTATGGATGGCTGGGATCCAATACCCCAAATGGGGAGACCATGTACTATGGTTTTCATACCTGCTTGCACAGTTGCCCTGCATACACAGGTTCTGGGTTCCAATTCCAAGAGACAACCTGTTGTAGCAGATTTGCTGTTAACATAACAATTTCTCCAGTGTGGAATAAATAAGGTTCAAGGTTCAAATTATTATTATTATTATTATTATTATTATTACACTGACCACAAAAGGCAGTAGTAGGCCCTGAACTCCTGCAAGGTAAAGCAAAATTTTACATATTATAAACTGAATTCTCCGTTCTACATATGTTTGAACCATGTTTTTGTTCCATTTGCCTCCTAAGGCTGGCTCTTCCTACAGGGGGTGATCCAACACTTAGACTACCAAAGCTGAAAAAACCCTGCACACTGCCTTCAACACTTTCCCCTGGTTTTGGGCCACACAGTTGAATTCCTCTCACACTCACTTGTTGACATTTTTTTTTTTTTTTTTTGCAGGAGACTTTTTTGCAAGAACCGATTATCAGGCGAGTACTGCACCTGGTACTACAGCTCTGTTGTGTCTGTGGACTCTAATCTTCACTCCTGTTCATTTGTTCCCGCTGCTGTTGACAAAGAGCAAGTGATTGTGCAAGTCTGGACTCGATGGATCTTGCTCTGTTTTTGCTCCTCACTTCAGTGTTTTGTCCTGTCATATGGACGTCGCTGAGCATTTTCATTGGTAGGCACAGAGCGTGAGAGCACAGGAGACGTCAACGCTGCTCTGGGTTTTCCCGTCCAGCAGATCTGGGTCAAAGCTGCTGAAGCTTTTGTTGGTTTGTACGAGGACGCAGCAGCAGTCTGACTGAAGGTAGGAGCCGGGAGCGCAGCAACATGGACACAATATTATTTACAGCTGATAGACTTCAACCCAATGAACTTTGCTCCCACTGAGACTGAGACAATGTAAACCATGAGCTTCTGCTGCAGAAACGAGTTCAACTGATTAAAGTTGTCCATCAAAACCTAATGAGTCTGAATGCAACTCTCAACGTCTATCAACCCCAAACAGGCCGTCTATATTAGAAGTCAAGCTGGACCTGCACAGGTTTCCAGATGTTTAAACCCACACGACTCTGAGGCTCCACCCACACTCAGCACTGGACTCTCCTTCCACCGACACCATCATCACGCTGAGGTAGAAATGATGTCACGACTGAACCCCCAGCAAGTTCTCCTGAAAAACTGTATCCTCTAAACAAAGAAATATCTGACTTAATATCAGATAATGATTCCACCTTTATGATAAAGTCGAGGCTGCTGAATCAAAGACAGTGAGGAAAGCAGAACCTGACACTATATATATACTGTATATAAATGCTAAGCTTCTCTTTAGGAGTGACAAGAATGGAGGAACAACACAGACAGGAAGGTTTGGAGGAATAACTAGAGAAGCCAGATTGAGATGGTTTGGACATGTGCAGAGGAGGGACAGTGGATACATTGGTAGAAGAATGTTAGAGATGGAGCTACCAGGTAGGAGACAAAGAGGAAGATCAGACTTGACTCATATTCATCAGTCACAGGCTGACTGTGACTGATGCAGCAGCAGAAAAAAACATCTAATGTGAAGCGCGCTTTAACAGGTGTTGATCAGGTTAATCAGGTTGTTCTAAATGTTCTTCAGCTCCTGTGTATATATATATATATATATATATATATATATATATATACACAGGAGCTGAAGAACATTTAGAACAACCTGATTAACCTGATCAACACCTGTTAAAGCGCGCTTCACATTAGATGTTTTTTTCTGCTGCTGCATCAGTCACAGTCAGCCTGTGACTGATGAATATGAGTCAAGTCTGATTTAACTGTCTGAGTCTGTGATGAATGAGTGAACTGACGCTGCTGCTGGATTATTACTATCATTAAATGTTCTTTCTTCAGGTGAAACAGCAGCAGACAGAAAACAGAATCATCGGAATGACCGGGGGAAAATGAGACTCAGCAGATTAATGATGGCAACACTGAGGACTCCAATGAAAACAAAGAACATCCAGGAATTAATCTATAGAAGTTCTCCAGGAATTTGATTTGCGTCAACATTAATGTCACAGTGACGCCTCTCTCTGAAACCGTCTCAATCATTCCCAACTGCCCACTCCTTCTCACCCCCCCTCTTCCTTTTATGGTGTTGTTGACAAAATGCCTTCAAGACATGTTATTACCATTTCCTGCCCTGGAGACAAGAGATATTTGCTGAACATCAACATCTTTCCCCCTCACTGAAGAAAACCCTTAAAGGGGAGAAAACAAAGGAAAAGAAAAGACAGAGGAAATTAAAGAGGGAACAAGAGGGTGGGGAGACAACATCTATGACTTTTTCCTTAGTGAGAAAAACATAATTAAAGGTAAAATGAAAGAAAATGAGGCAGGCAAAAAATGAAAATGGAAGAGGGATAAGGGATAAGAGAGGGAAGGGGACAAAAAGCAGTGGAAATGAAGTGAGCAGCAAAAAATAAAATGTAAAAATGAAATCAAGGGAACAAGTGAGAAAAGCCGAACAGGAAACAGGAGAGGAAACGGGAGAGGAAATAGACTACTGTTTCCTCTCTTGTTTCCTGACAAAACAGTAGACTCAGAATCTGATCAACAATAACAACAACAACAACAACAACAGCAGAGAAACAAAAATGTGAAAAAACAAGAAGTACTGACTGAGATGAGGCAAGGCATAATTACAGTGACAACTCAGCGGTTTCTTCACCAATGACAATTCACTGTTTTCTTTAAGGACAACATCAGCGTTTGTACTGATGACTCTGTCTAAATCAACACATGTACAAGGACACACTCAGTGGTATTCTCTGGAACTGAAGTTTCAACAAGAAAAACATGTGTCTTCTTTTCTTATCTGGACCTCGTTTTGACTTTAGACCAGATCCTGATTCAGACCTGCACCCGTGTCCTGATCCCGATCAGATGGGTTTTTATTCTAACCTGAATTACAGCACACTACCATTAAAAGAAAGGGCAACAAAATGTTTTTTGCTCATGGGCTAGTCTCTCTAACTGTGTTTCAGACAGAGTTAACAGTTACTGTATATATTTACACTGCAGTGAACAGGGTATACAGAAGCTGGTACAGCCGTAGGACCAACAGGGAACTGTGTGGATGGGCACAGCTTTCTGATTGGCTGGAAAACTGAGTAAAGTTTATTTGGCACAGTACTTAAAAAAATTCTCCCTACTGAACAGAAACAGAACCATTTGTAATGAACATGTATTTATTTGAACTAAATGTTCCTTGTGCTATGAGGTGAAAGCTTGGTCTTAAATCTACGGCTAAAATATAAGGCAATTAAAAAAAAGTCAGCTAAAAAAATGTCTGCATTTGCTTCTTTTTATTTAGAAACATGTGAGTTAATAGCATTATTTTGCTTCTTTTTTTTTCTATCTAAGGGGACCTTTTTACTGAAGCAACAAAAAAGTCTGTGTACAGCCCTGCAGCACAGCAACCCTGACATTAACACGAGGTGGGAACTCACATCTACAATAATAATAATAAAAAAATAATTTAAAATAATAACAATAATAATGTGAAATATTGGGTGAATAAAATAAAATATTGAACAAGATATTTATTTTGTATTAAATGCTCAACACTTTACCTGCGATAGAGTGAAGATGAATAACAGGAAACCTGAGTTTACAATAACTGCCAAACGGGCGCGTGCACGTGCATGTTAGTGTGTGCGTTTTCTAGTGCATTGACACTAGAAACGCGACAATAAAATATTGACTTTTCATATTTGTGGGTTAATACCTGTTAAGGTGTTGCAGAAGTGACAGTAACATTCTTCAGTAAAAATGTTCTATTTTACACCAACACTGCGGGTTAGTCAGTCAGAGAAAAAAGAAAACAATAATGAACTATTCAAACAAATTTCCCGTGCACTACAGAAAATCTGAGGAGAGATACTCTATGTTTTCAACTTGTTTTGCAGCCAGACCTTGAGGAAACAGTTCTCTCTGAAACTCACCGGTGTGTCCTTGTAGCGCAGCGGCAAACACTGTGCGCTCTGCAGCAACAGCAGCGCAGAGATGCAGCAGCACAAGCGCATCAGCAGCAGTACACCCGTCCGCATCCTGGCCCTGGTTCTGCAGACAGCGTCTGGTTCCCTGGGTGCAGTGAGGTTAAGTTCAGTGCAGAGTGGTTATTGCAGAAGCAGCAGCAGCAGCGGCAGCCGCTCAGCCTTTAAATCCACTCTGATTCTTTGTTCACTCCTCAGGTTTTTGTTTCTGACCACGTGACTCTTAACCCCTTCACCGCCGAACTTAACGCACTGTATTTAGTTTGGTGTGTTACCAAACTAAATACAGTTCGGTCCAAAGTTACCCTCGGTCTAGACACAGATGGTGTATTTGTGTTTATTTCACTAGATGATAAAGAGTTATTTTTCTCCTCTTCATTCAACTCGCAACAGACCTTGTTTTTTTTTAAAAAGACTCACCTGAATGGCAGGCAGGCCAGTCACACAACATTGAGGAACTGATGCTGCCCTGGGTCATCAGACATGCTGCCTTTACATGTTGCTTGGGCAGTGGTGGCTTAGTGGTTAAAGAAGTGGACTTGGGTCTGGGAAGTTGCAGGTTCAAATGCACCAGCTGCCAAATTACCATTGAGGTGCTTTGAGCATGACACCGTCCCCACACACTGCTCCCTGAGTGCTTAAAGTTGCCCAGCATTCACTTTGGTGATGGGTTAAAAGCAGAGGTTGTGTGCAGTGGTGTGCTGTGTCACAACAGTTTGGAAGGTCTTTGCACATTAGCCATGTGCCCAGAATTCAGAAGATGATCCAGAAGATGCAGAACACTGCACGATGTTTCTGCATTAAAGTGACTTTTGTCTTTGTCTCTACGTAATATAATCTTGTGACAATGATTTCACTGTGGTCACTGTCTATCACATAAACGTAATGGTTTCTCCCTAAATCTTAACAAATTAATATTAGCAGTAGATGGAGACGAAGCCCCTGATTGGTGTTCCTTTTAACCCTGACATGAACCTGTGGACAACAGATTTTTAGATTATAAATGTGGGTTGTTTAAAGTTTTTTGCATACAGTATTTTCTGCAAGGTTTTCGCCCCTCTATTTCAAAGACCATTGTTTATTCTCTCATCATTTTCATTGGAAATGTGCTTGATCTCAAGTCTTTCTCCACAAAACTTTTTTTACGGTGAAACTTAAATCTCCTCTGCTATCTACTCGTTAACCTGCTTCTCTGGTTCTTGTCGTAACGTGACTTTTATAAACAGGTTATCTCATACTTCTGCAGATGGTACCAATAGCATTTCCTCCTCTGTGTTTTTTTATGAGCAAGTGGCGTCGTTCCAGGGCATGACAGCAGCTCGCAATTACCACAGAAATCCACTTCAGGACCAGGACTCGGTCTGAGCCAAGGCTCATAAATACAGGGATCAGCTCCAATGACAACGATTCAGGAAAACAACTGCCGCTTCATCGGAGATGCTGATGAAAGCAGAAGGACAGTGATGTCACTCATACAAACGCCATAAAACTTTAAACACACACTTACAGAAAATATTCAAGCACTTTAAGTGTTCGGAATTTTGGATGTGTGGTTGGATGAGGCAATGATTCATCATTAACAATGACTTTAATGTCAATCTGTAAAAAAAGAAAAGGATTTAGCAGCTGTAGTGTGATGTCTGTTCACAGTTTATTTTTACTGTTTAAGAGTTTTCCAGGAATTTTTGTGAACCACCTCAAGTCCATAGAGAAAACTTAAGATTTAACCTCACACATCTGTCCCACTAGGGACTCCATCACTACATCCAAGTGAAAATCTCTATTTATGTGATGCCAGTGTTTAATATCCTGTGTCCAGACCCAGCTCGGTGACACAAACTGACCACATGAGGCAGCAGTAAAAGAAGAAAATGTTAAAAAAAAGTTTAAATTGATCTCTAATGAACAACAGGCAGCTACGAACAATGTCCAGTTGAGCAGGAAGAGATACCGGAATGCAAAGGCACAATCAGGAAAACATGTGAGGATAAAAGAATACACAGAGATCAATAACTAAAGACAATAAGGCTGGTTCACTGATCAAATACAGGCAGGTACAGTATATTTACAGACAGGGGAGGAACTGTGAGATGACCGTACGTATAATAAAAATCTAAATAAATGTTTATCTTAACAAATATTTTTAAAGATCCTGGATGAGGTGAGAAAGATGTCAACAAACTGTGTTAAAGAAAATGACAAAGAAACATTGAAGAGAATGTTCTTCACATGTAGTAAACGTAAGTTTTTAACTCATCCCACACTGGAAGAACATGCCCACCCTGTCAGGGAATTGAACCCCAGTCTCCTGCGTGATAGGCAGGGATACTCACCACTATACTAACTTATAGTGGTGGCTATAGGAATTGGACAAAAATAGTGAAGGTGGAGATACAGGTTAAGACGGTTAGGTAGATAAACACCGTGGAGTAAAACACAGGAGGTGAACAGAGGGTGGTGGACACATTTGGACCAAGCATGGCTGTGTCTGTGTCTGTGGGAGCTAAAATGACTCATTGTCAGTTCACTTTGGTGCAGGATGATTGGTGCTTTACACAGATTTTTAAAAAATAAGAACAGAATTAATTTTGTCTTAGGAGTTAGTGGAACCATTATGTTAAGGCTTCAGTAGGTAACTTTAGCTGGTGTCTGTACATGTTTGATCATCGTGGACGTGAATATTTTTCTGCTGCATCCTTCATATGGAAACTATTAGATGTAACCAAACAGGAGGAACAATTGAAAGGGGCGTGGTCAAGAAGAGAGCTATGACCTGTCATAAAAGCTCAACATCAAGGCTTTTTAAGGCAGAAGAATCACTTCAGAGAGGGTTTGTGGTTTCAGCCCCCTCCTCTGAAAACTTGATCTTCATTTAATCATCTGTAACTCTCATTCATCTAAGTGATGAAATTCCTGCAGTTTCAGATCCATCTCTCCAGAAAAGCAGCAGAGAAAGTCTCACCCACTGCAGGTACGACCATTTAAACTCTGTGAGTGAGTGAGTGGAGGTGCTGACAGGATTGCATGAAGAAAAAGTCACAAACACACATGCACGCTCACACACACAGACTCACATAAACAGCAAGTCAGCATTATGTCAGAGGAATGTTACGCTCTGCACCTCTGCTGTGCTTCTGAGCTTTTATGGATTTCAGGCCAAAAAACAAAAACAGGACTGGAACTGAACCACAGCACTGCTGCACAAAAGATAAAGAGCTAGAAGTTAACTTGAAACAGTTAGATCACAATGAGCTTCATTGTTTAAGGTTAGTCAACTAAAACCAAAAGGTTGCTAAACAAAGGTTAGCNNNNTCCGAAATAGCTGAGTCTAGTTATATATAATAGCCGTATGGATTAAGGCAGTGGTTCTCAAACTGTGGTATGTGTACCACCAGTGGTACGCGAGCACTCTCTAGTGGTACGTGGGGAAAATTAATATTTTCACATTTACATTTTCAGTTAAATAAATCTGAAACATACCATGCACAATTAATACAACATTTAAACATAAACATCTTTCTAAACCTCTCTCCTGTGTGGTGGAAGCTAACAGTGAAGGCCTTTGCTGCTATATTCTAAGAGAGATCACGGTTTTCTCAGGTGGTACAGAGAAAAAAAGTTTGAGAACCACTGGGTTAAGGCATAGAATTGATAGAAGGTCTTCACAGTTTAGTACAAAATAGCTGGAACTTTACTGAAAGACATCTTTAAAATTGAAAAAAAAAAAAGATTTTATTTGGGCCAGGAACATTTACCAGAAAAAAAGTTATATATAGTGGTTCATAGTTTATAGTTACTGTATCCTATAAAGGATAGCTAAAAGTAGCTAAAAATAAGATGAGAAAATCTGTTGACCTTGACATCTAAGAATGACTTTCTTAGAAAGGTTTTTCTGTGACTCCAACACCTTTGGCTGGTCTACATTTTTGTAACTTGTTGTATCTCTTAGTTTCCTTTTAGTTTGGACGTTATTCAGAAACTTGTGACCTGCAGGCAAAGTTCACCTTCCCTAACCATCTGTTGGTGATGATGAAGTTGACTGAGCTGAGGAGAAATTTCCTGTTGAATACAACTGATTGAAAGAGAGGCAATGTGTATCGAAAACATTCTTTTTCATCCTGGTGTGACCTAGTGTGACGATGATGTTTGTTTCTAGTGACACATTCTCTTGTCCATGTCCAGCATTGTTGTCCACACTACAGAACCTGCAGGAGCATACTGATCCTTGAAGACATTTTATCTTTAAAAACAATGAGGATCTAGAGATAAAGCCAGCGTCAGCTAAATGGAAACTGCTCAACTTTGATGTCTGTAAATAAGAAACGGTTGATGTCATTTAAAAAAAGAACTCTCTCCATCTCTACAGGGACAGAGTGAATAATTTAATGTGCTGATGAATAGAAAGAAAAGACCTGCTACAAAGATTTGCTGTTTGAAATTATTTAAATATGTTCTTCATTAAAGATACAGAAGCAAAAACCTGCCAGCAGAGGGTGACAAAAATATGGCTTTCTAAACAAAAGACTCAGTTAGTCAACAGCCTTTCAAGAAAATGACCTGTTTATCTCACTGTTTGACGTAGCTTTCCGTGGAAGGCTGTAAACAACCCACTCTCACACAACAAATTCCACTGAAGAAAAAACCAAACAGATTTCTGTCAGTGACACAAACACACCACAGGAGGCAGCAGTACACAAAAAGCTTGTGTGTATGTAACCGAAATTATATTATATATAATTATATATATAATAATATTTTTCTTTGTTGACTTTAGTGTGGGTAAATAAGTGATGTACATGTTTAAATGTTATCTCTGGCAGCAAATCTTCTATGTTTGTGTTTAAGGTTTAGTCACCAGGAGAGCTGTTGTATCTGTTAGGAACCGATGTCAGATGGAGAGGGACAACATTTATCAGGAGGAAATGTCTCCCATTGGTTTGGACTTAAAGTTTATGACTGTTTTTTTTGGCTGTTTGTCACCGCTGGGTGGTCCTGTGGGTTTCACAGTGTGCCCTGTCATAAAAAAGGTCAAAGGTTTGATCCCTGTCCATCAGTGTCCATGTGTCCCGGAGCTCTACACTGAGCTTTTGTCCCAGCGTGTAGAGGACAAACATGCTGCTGCTGTAAACATCTAACATGTGACATACATAAACTTCAAACGTGCGCTGACTTAGCAGAAGATGCATGTTCGGTCATTTGAGTCTGTGTCA